CCATAAATCATTGGTCATGCCGTCCTTGGTCCCTCCTGTCCACATACAGTGTCCTTCGACTACAAACCGGCCCCATCGTAGGCAAATACTGCATAACAGACGTGCTCAGGTAAAAAAAGTCAGACGCAAGTGTTGTTTCTTTATCTTCTCATACTAAGCATCGACCGACGTTGCTGGTCAAAAGTGACTGCACAGTCTGTGCGGGTGACACGCTCTCAGGGAACGGACCGGAGGGTAGCAGGTGGCAAAAAAAAGTACACCTAATGAGGACACGTTTATTCTGCCAAGAGGTGGATTTCTAAAATCCTAGTGAAAACCTTTAATACTAATGCCAAAATATTTCATAATTTATCTTTCCAGTTTCATACGAGTTAGACAAAGTATTTTCACTCTGAGAGGTCTTGATTTGGCAGGAAAAATACACCAATTATTTTGTATTCCGATTGTGGCAGCTGCTGGGAAAAACAGTCATTAATCTGCTCTAGATGCCACTGCACCACAGCTACCGCCGGGAAAAAAAAACAACCTAATCATGAGCCTAAACTGACACACAGCTGCAACATCCAAGCAATGATTCAGCCTGCCTCCCCATCAGCCACCCTGGGTGAAACTAGAACATACATATAGCGTCAGATAATGAGTCACTGCAGCGTTCAGCCAGCGCTGTGCTGCCGGGCTCCCCGCTACACCTGAGGCATACGCAACTGTAATCTTTGCCTCCAAGGACACAAGACTCTAGTGTTTATCAAATCATTCAAATTGAGTAAAATGCTGAGAGACACAAACGGATAAAGGATAAAAGAGATGCAGAGAATTTTAGAAAAGCCTGGAAATCGTTTCTACTCACCTTCATGTCTCCTCATATCAGAAGAAGAGGAAAAAGTAGTGAGGATTAATGTCAAAGAATGTCAATGACAAAATTACTGCATTGAGGACGCAGGTTTAAAAAAGTAAAATGGGAGGATGAGCATGTGACTGATATCAAGTGATATAATGACAAACGCAGCAGGGAAGAGAACGGGTAATGACGGGAGAAGACAGAGAGTGGAGGAGGATGAGAGTCTCAGTAAGAAATCAGCAGGTTGTGAGGATGTTGCAGGAGGCAGATAGGGAGGGAGAATCAGTGAGTGAGAGCATAACAAGTTGAGTCTAGACTGCTTTTATAAAGGGAAGTTGCCACATTTACAGCACACAGCAGCCAATGATAAATGTCCATGAGGCGGGACTGAGGCTCTGATTGGCTCAACGCAAGCAAGGAGGATGAACAGAGGGAGAGGGCCGGCCAATGAACCAAAGATGATGGAAGAGTCGGGGGGTAGGGTAGGGATGGGGGGGTGTGAGTGGTACCTGTGAAGTGGATGTGTTTTAGAGTCACAGAGCAGCAGCCAGCTGGGTCAAGGACATTTAAACACCGTTAGTTTCCTTGTCTCAATCTGCTCAAAAACCAACGCTCTAAAGACAAAGTAAATGTTACATTTTAGCAACTGTTTCCTAAAACACAAGGTCAGATGGAGATAAAACCGTGAGGCAGATCCCTTATGATCCTGTTACCTCATCATCTGTGAGCTGATGACTTGTTGCTGCTGGGAATACAGTGGACCCCCGAGATATGAGTTCAATCCGTTCCACAAAAGCACTCATGTCTCAATAGAATGTTCCCTATTAAAAATAACTAAAAACCAATTAATCCATTCCAGCCCCTCAGAAATATACTATTAATTTTTTATCTAAACATCAAAAACAGACAAATATATTGATAATATAAAACAATAATAATCAAGAAAAAAAATTATTGTTTTATTATTGTTAGAAAAATGGGAAAAATAACCGAGTGATGGACAGTGAGCGAGACAGCACGACAGAGTGTCTGCACCAGTAAATGTAAATTAAAATTTTGTGATGAACTCGGCAGCCTCTTTGGCATCAGAGCTCGCGGCTTCCCCATGCCGTACGACTGAATGGATACCAGTCCTCGGTTGAGCGCTTGTAACGAGATATTTCCTCGTAGTAAGAGCAAAATCTTTATCTCTATTGTTGCAGACTTGTAAAATGGAATACTCTATTTTGGGAAGCTCATACCTACGGGGTCAACTGTACACAGTGATGATATGGAGTTGGAATTTTGTGTTCCAGAGAAGAACTAACATTTAAAGTTTCGCGACAATGATCACCCTGTCTATTGTTCTTTCTTACAACAAATGAAGTGGGGTTTTTTTTAAACACAAAAGTCTAGCTATTAACTTATGCCAAAAACAGACATTAAAAGTCCAAAAAGTTTTAGTCAGTCTAACACATTAGTGCTTTTCCTGACAAGGGAAAAATGCTTAACTTTTTTTTTTTTAAGTTGGACAATAGTTGTTTTTATTAGTTCTAATTATCACTGCTAAGTTTGCTAAATGCTGCTCGGTCAGCTACAAAATGTAGCAAATCGAGCTAAGCTTAAAAATGTCAAGTTTTGGCAGCTTTCATAAGCCAAGACCTGATTCATGTCAACCAGTGTCTTTAAATACCACTGCACTGGGCAAGGGGTAGTAAGATATGTTTTACTCAGTTAAATAGCCAATGATTGCCAATGAGCTAAACGTTAGCCTAACCTGGGAGACTAGTCGAAGAAGCTAATACGCATAATGAATATGTTTCTGGAAAGCAATGCTAGTTATCGCTCAATTCTAAGCTAACGAACAAGATTTTAAAATCTTTTCATCAGTTACTTTTGGGGCCTTTTTTATTTCATGTGTGGATTAGCAATTATTTCAATAGGACTTGATGAGTGTTTGATTAAAGGGTCCAACATATTGTACATTTATATGAACAGTAATTAGCACGGTAGCAGTAGTGCAATGAGAAAACATCATTACAGTTTTACTAAGAAGCATCGGAAAACATTTACCACAGCTGTTCAGTCAGCAGGAGGACATCACTATAATACGCTGGACCTTTTCAACAGATGTGACCTTTTTATACATGTTCTCCAAGCCTTTGATCCCGCTCAACCTCAAACTGTTTTAACTATTTGACCTCACACAATCTTTGCCATTTTAGTGACATGTCACTAAACTCAAACTACCCAAACAAACAACTAAGACAGAGTTAATTTTCGATTATTATTTTTTAAGATTTGGTTTACAATGACAATTTAGTCCCTGCGGTACTGTTCAGATGTCTGATCTTGTTTTGTTTTTTTTCTCACTCAGAGTCTCTCAGTTATTTTGTTTTTTTTCCATAACCCTGTTAAAAGCCAATCTGCGCCAGCTGCACCTGCTGCCTCTGACGCTATGTTTCACAACAGGGGGGGCGCTGTCTCCTGGATCCCAAACGCACACACAGACACATGCTTGGTAGAGTGTTGAGATCAGTCAGCCTCTACATACAGGAAGAGGAGGAGGAAGAGGAGGACTTCAGAAGAATGACAACAATGGTGTGTATGACACCAGAGAACATGTTGCCCTCAACACCATCGTCGCATACTTTCACATACATTTTATCCTTGCACTAACTCTGGTTTTCTCACCCACACCCTGTCCCTGCACTGCAGGTGTGGTTGGATTACTGATAATCCTTCTAACAGTGTTTGCCCATGACAAACTTGTCAAGAATTCATGTAGGCCCCCGAGCTAATCAATAGTTTTCATCAGATACTTAAGGTGAAGGAAGCCTGAAATCCTCTTCATCATCTTTCTGCCGACCTCTCCACTCCAACTACACCCCATGAGAGAATTTCTATTCTGGAAAAGCAGACCCAACAACAAGTGTAGTCTTGAAAATAAAAACCCCATCATGAACCTGTCAAATGACCACGATGGAAAATATACTAATTGTTTTGAGCAGACAATAAGCTCTTGTCATCGACTGCTTTGCTTTTAGATTAGGAAGAAAATACATCAACAGCCCATGTTCAAATTGATAAGGATTCCTGCCTGGTCTGCTGACAAAGACTGACAACAATCACACGTATGTCAATATTTTATATGGTTTCTATTTAAAATAAAACTTAAAAATAGGCAAGTTAACATTCTGGTGCTCACAGACAAGGTAGGTGAAAAAATATGGATATATAATTAACATATAATTACAAATACACAAAGTATTTGCATAATTGAATACTTAAAGAATCTTCTGCCTGTTCCATGTGCACGACTTAAGGAAAATACTTTTTTTTATCCTTCTAAGCATCTTAGCATTCCCCAGCTAACAGATACTCGAGTGCCAACATCATTTAACCGATTTAAAGACACACTAGGACTTCACAAGATGTCTTAGTCAATCATGTGACTTGATTGTATCAGTTACAAAAATCAAATGGTTTGTTTGGTCACGTGCAACTTACATAAAAGCTCTGGGTGTTATTTGCGCTAAATTTGTATTTTCTACCTTGGTGAAAATCAATAAGTGATATCAATAATGGAATCTGAATGGTTAAATTCTTATCGATTCTCTTCCTTACTGGGAAGTGCTGTACATTTCTGTACAGAAACACTACAGCACCGTTAGTGTCTACCAAAGTCTGGACTCAGTCCCAGAACCCTAAGGTTGTAGGACAACTGTCACTATCCACTGACCCACAGCCATTTGTGACACAAGAACCAGGACACAGGCTGCACTAAACCAACTACAAAAAACTCCAAATCATCCTAACCCAATTTATTTTTCCACTTAAAATGTTTTAGTCCATTATGTAGATGGGCGCTTACATGTGTGCCCACCATTGTTTCGATAATTATTTGGATAGTTTGGAGACCACTGCCCTTTTACAGAAAATTGAATTCACATTCAAACCTGAAATTGTTCTTGAAGCACTGCTGCTGATTCACGGACCACAGTTTATAATACATACTCTGGCTGAGATTAAAAATCAGATGTCGCAGTGCTCCGTCCAAGGTCATGAAGACCACAGTCGACCACATGTGTCTCCGACAACAACACGTGTGACTGTGTACTTATGGCAGTGCTCCACAACACACGCAGAGGTACACGGGCAGAATCATGGAAGAACAACTTACCAGTCGACTGATCCTGATAATGATGATGAGACCTTTATCATATTAATTGTCCAAAGTCCAGAGTATGAGACACTTCACTTGTTGTTCTCAGCTCTTCTTCAGGATTCTTACCACAAACCTATTGTCCTCAGCCCAGCACCAAAGTTTACAGAAGGTCAATCTCCTTCCAAGACTGAACCAGTATCACAGTATCACAGTATCCTGGGCACTAGCAACACTAAAGCAAGCCAAGTTACAACAGCAAACAATCGAGCCCCCCCTCTGACTTTCAGTGTTGAGTAAGCCTTATGTTTAAATACTCCTTTAAGGTCAGCTCTCTCTGGTTTCAGGGGAGACTGTGCAAGTGTTTGACTCCCTCACCCTGAAATGGCAAAGTGGAAATGGCGACTCCTCCCAACCTGAGAGTCTCTGCAACTGCACTGACATCTCATGGGTCCGTGAGAAGCTGAAGCACATTAATCCCGGTGAACTTGAGCACAATGACGATTGGTTGGAGATAAATAACAAACGGTGTTATTAGTTTTTGTTTTGCTCACATCAATAAATACTGAATTTTAAATGTTTTACCTGATGTGACTGCAAATACAGAGAAGCTCTGGAGGAGAAAACTCACCACGGCCACAGTGGCAGCAACACAATGGATGCTGTGCTGAAAATATAAATGCCTTGGACAATCAGAAACTATTAGTCACCTCTGAGAATAAACCACATTGGCAACAGAATCCAAATTGACCAATCAAAGTGTAGGCTCAAAGACAAATACAAATCCAGCTCCTTTATAACCCGCAGTGAAAGGGGTTTGTTCTGTTGGCCAGGCCTCACATCATAAGACCGCTGACACAATAAGCATTTGTACCAAACAAGACCTCAAAAGGGCTTTTTAAGGTAACGCTGCGGCTTTTTTTTTTTGCCTCCAACCATCTGTGTCCATGTTCTTCAGCGTCATCTTACCCTTGACCCCCTCTCTGTTTTTGTCCTCTGTTCTCACCCCCGCCCACAACCTGCTACAGCCAGACAGTTCAAGTTTCCTTCCACGAAAAAGTATCGGCAACAAATGGCAAAATGCGTCTCTTTCAACCCCCACGCTTCCTCTTTCCCCCCGTGCCATCTCAGGAGATACGATGGAAAACAGGAAGAAGGGACAAAATATACTGTATTACCACGACTGCTACTCCCACTAAAATGTCCACACTACTTCATGTCATTCAGTGCAGTGGCCTTGACCTTGGCCTCACCACTGCAGTGTTTATTTATGGCTGTCATCGCTGCAGCTACCGAATGGAAATTATTTGAAACAATATTATTTCTGAGGTTTGTCCAACCAATTTTATCTCCGCAATTTTGTTTACAGACATTCAAATTTTTGGTCAGCATTTACAGAGATGACATTTTTTCCATTAGAGAATAGGGTTGAAATTGTACCTTTTTAAAAATGCACAGATTCATAAAACCCATTAACCCATTAAAAACCTCTCTAATAAATTGACCAGAAAACAACACCCGCTCATATTTTTAGTTTGCTTTTAAAAATAAGAACATTGGACTTGGCCCTGGGGGCAGGATGTCATCTGTCCTAATATTTCATATCCATCTAAAAGCTGATGACACGACTGAGTTTTTTTGGGGGGATTTTAACCCATTCGTTTATGGTAAGAGACCACAACTGATCCTATACAGGAATGC